AGGTTTTTTGTTTTACGCTCGCTTGGCGCTGCTCGCCTTTGAGTTACCAACAATTATTGTGCCCCTGTATTACTCATTCCTAGCTTGGTGATTATTGTTAAGCTACCTTGACAAAATTGTTAAACCTGTATAATTTGCAATTATTTTGTTCAGCAGTTACACTCTTCATCCCAGATCAAAATTTGCCATGAATTTGTAAACAAGGGTTGTGACTTTGACGAAAAAAAAAATGGCGTGGTTGAGTTAATAGCGAAAAACCTGAAACTTCTTCAGAACTTTTTTAAGTTCATGTAAACAACTTCCACTTCCCCTAGGTGATTCCTTTTCAAACTTATTGTCCATTCAAGGTTTAAGAAAGGACTGGTCTTGAGTGACTGTTCAGACAGTTGTAGGAAAACCTAACAGAAGGTGCAACGGTTCACTACAGGAAAGGGCTCAGCAGCTACTCTGCGGGGGTCAGGGGTAAGTGTAAATGTAATATTTGGAACTCGATGCTAATCCCAAGTAAGTGGTTATACTATTATAATTCTATTTTTTCAATCATAAGATAACACTATCGTTATTCAGGGGTATGTGGGATCCCCATCAACATAGGTAACAAATCCGACTTTACACCATTTAGCACAGTAAATTGTTGTCTTCCACTGAGGTAATTGCATATTAGGTCAAACGCTTTTTTTAAATTCGATGAAGACTGTTGCGACTGCCATTCCAGAGTCTACAGCTCTCCTCCACAACTCTGTAAGGTGAATGATCAAGAGTGCGGTCGAATACCCGACACGATATGCCAACTGCTTGTCCGATGCAAGATTATTACTCTTGAAGATGTGTTGTGGGCAATTCCACGCGAGACGATGAAATTTTGAATTTTTTAAAATAAAATTTTGCACAATGAAACTTAACCAACAAAACTGAAACAATGGGCTGAAACAATGGGCTGTTTGAAATTACTGAGATCTTGTGCATGTGCTTAATGTGAGAAGGCATGAAATCCAGAGAATTTGAATTTCATTTTATTTGGAGAGAAGGAAATTTTAAACAAAGTTTTAACATCTAAGAAAACATTACAGTTAACATAAAAGTATGTGTGTATAGCCTTTGCCTTACACTATCATCAGGCTATAAATTATTATCCAGCTACTGGCACTTTCCTGAGAAAATTGACATTGAATTTTTGTTGCAGACATTAGGTAATGTCCGCAATGTTAACCCATTCGCCCCTGAACCGCCCGTAACCGCCCATGCGGATCCATGTCCTTTCTACCCTTTGTGACGTCATCAGTTTTAACGGTCAAGGACAACTTTCTTCGCACACGTGTGCAGAGTGAAGAGATCTTTCAAACCATACCAGAATGAGCACAATTCAGTCAAGGACACCGGAGAAAGAAGCAAAAAAACACGTGACAAGGACCTGAAAATCTCCATGAAAATCTTGTTCCATTACCCACCTACCTTTCCTTGCACCTAATCCTAAGATCCTAAAAGCTTTCCTAAAAACTCTTCCCACCAAAATGAAGCCTACTAAATGCCCAGCAAGGGAAAAAAAAATGAGGCAAGAAAAGCGAAAAAAGAAGGGAGGAGAAATTTTGCTTTCTGCGCATGCCCGAACTTCGCAAGCTGATATTTTGCATCTGGATCAGAAGGCCGCCAAGTGTACGACCTGTAAATTAAACCGGTTTGTGGTAAGTTTTAGCTCTTTATAGCACGACAGTGACCAGAAAACCACTCGACTAGCTTCAAAACGCGTTTTTCGGCAAAATCTCCGGGAGCGAATGGGTTAAGTACCTTTTTTCAGTTCCTGTGCACAGTGCGCTGTATTTTCATGTGCTATTGATGCTGCTCAGTTAGTCTGATGTATACTCTATTTTAATCTCAAAACATTCCCTGGGTGGGTTTTCTTTGCTCAGAAATTATAAGTTCAAAAGCGTTGCGGACATTACACATATTAGATTTTTCATTTATTCAGGCTGTTACAGATATTTAGTTCTTACTATCTCTGAATTAGATTCAGACAACAGCCCACTTAACACTAAATTGCTTTTCATTCATGTACAAATGTAAATGGCAAATTAAAAAGAGGTGGTAGCTTTTCCGTATGTCCAAATGGGTAGAATTTAACTTGCAAACTATTAAAAACACTCTATAATTTATGATTTCTGTGACATTCTTGAAAATGGGCAAACATAGTGATTTTCGAATTAGTTCCTTCCATAAAGTAGTATAGATGCATGACGAATTTTGCAGTTTAACAGAAAAACTGAAAAATATTTTAAAGAGTTTATATGGTTTTGGGGGACGCTGTCACAAAATAAGAGTGACATTTGTATGGATCTTTCACCGTGTTTCAAGAGTCGTAACTTGATCCCTGTTCAACTTTAGAGCACCATCCCTGCTCAACCAACCAATCTCAACATGACCTTTTATATGGTGGTGTCAGTTTATCGATTAGTTTAAATTTGAAACTTGCCCCAGTTCCCTATGCAACTCCTAAATGGCCAATGAGTAGTTGATCAGGGGTTTTGTACTGCTGAGCATGCTCAGAACAGTTTGTAAGCATGCTTTTTGAGGAAAAGCACTGACGATCATTGTTTCCTCCGCAAATTTGAATGGGTATTATTTTTTTAAGTAGAATTTGTAATATAATGTGTAGTGAAGAATGTGCAAATTTAGTGCAAAGTTACATTATTTTTATCTGTCTTTAAGTCAGATTGAATGACAAAATATGATAATTTCAGTAGCTAAATCAGTTTTGTAAAAAACAAAATAATATCCTCACTACTGAGAACGTTTTTTTTTTCTCACAACATTTACTTGAGATGTAATAGAATTAATTTGGAATTTTTTTTACGGAGTCAGTATAGCACAAAACAAATCTGACTGGTATTGCATGATACTAGGTCTCAGCAGGAGATTATATAAATATTATAATAGAACATAAAAAAAGGAAATGATAATTTCACAGCTTCATTTTTAGACAAGTAACTACAGAACAAATGGATATAGCCACAGTCAGCAACACTAAATAGGAAGTGAATGATAAAAAATGTGTTCCCAAAAATGTAATGTCCGCAACACAAACCTTTGTTTGTAGAATCACTGGAACAAGTTTGCATGGAATTTTTTTGACAGTTGAAAAATCTAATTATTGTTATGTTTTGAAGGCACAGTTATTTTCTGCTCAAGGTTAAAAATTCACAGGAAAATCTCTGTAAAGAACATTACTTTAAAAAGTGTTTGTTTAAACTGTAATGTCCGAAACACACTTTCTTCAACTCATACCTTCAAGGTCTTAAGAGCTAACCAAAGCATCTTTTTGTTAGGTACAAGTACTTTCTAGATGTGTTTGAACACCCTTAATGAACATTTTGACATCTAAACTGGGGTTTAAAATATTAATTTTAGTATCTGAATGTAATGTCCGCAACATGGAATCACCCTTGTACGAGAGTGGGTTAATCTCCGACTCCATAATCTTGCCAAAGTGCCAGGGACACTGAGGAGAGAGACCGGACGATAATTTCCAATGTTTGTTTCATAATCTTTTTTATAAATCGGTGCAAGTCTAGCTGTTTTCCATGAAGAAAATATTGGCCCACGTTCTATGCTTAATCGAAAAAGAGCAACTAGAGCAGGAATGACTGCTCAGTTCTGCGAGTTTTATTAGTTTCGGTGGAATATGATCAGGAACAGTTGACTTATTTATTTTCAACAATTCGATTTTTTTTCGTTCTGATCGCTGAGATCCCGTGATTTCACTTAGATGAGGTGGTTTAGCTCTCCGATTTCGAATTAAGTCCGGTTCGCGGCATTCAATTGCAGTAGGGGGCTGTAGAAGTTCATCAGCTAACTTCTCTCTTATTGTGGAGAAATATCAGTTCATCAAAGCTCCTCCACCTACACTGTATGTAATCAAAGCTCCTCCACCTATTGCTCTAACCTAAACTATATTTACCTTTTACAAAAGCGGATAGTGCGGCTTATATCAAAAGCTCACTATCTAGCAAATACCGCCCAAACCTAAAGTCCTTGACATATATAGCATTAATTCTTTTTCTGTTGCTACATTTATGTATTCCTATCACTATAATCTTTTGCCTAGTAGCTTTCGTAACCTCTTTTTAAGCAGTAACCAGGTTCACTCGACTTAAACCTCTCAGTTTAGTCCTCATTTTTGTAGAACTAATATTAAGCAGTTCAGTACCCTTTATCGAGAGCCAACAATTTGGAATTCTTTGCCAGTTACACTACCACCTCCTCCCCCATATTTGTGATTATCTCATTTATAGTCGTTCTGTTGATTAAGTTTTATGTTTGCTGCACACTCTGCAATCAAGTTAGCCTTTGTAGTATAGCTTAAGGAAACCTGTTAATATAAGCTCCCAGCTTCTTTAGGCTTCCTTGTCACAACAACCTTTATTTTAATTAACACCTCTTGTAACGTTTTATTTTTACTTAGTGTGAGTGACTAAAAACCAATAAATGAAATAAATGAAAATAAATGAAAGCAGCTTTCTCCTCGTCAAGCAGTGCAAGACTATCATCTTCTCTTTTCAAAGGACCTATGGTCTTCGGTTAAGTAGGATTTGTTGCTTTTTTAAGCAGCTTCCAATACATGGTCGTATTCTTAACCCCGTCAAACGTATTGGAGAAGTAACTAGCCTTAGCTAGTCTTAAGGCAGAGGTAACCTCATTCCTCGCTCTTTTGTATTCTTGCCACAATAAGGGACACTTCGTGTTAATCGCCTTCCTGAAGAGTTTATACCGTCGATTCATTTTATATCGTATTTTATCGCTTATCGACGGTACAGATGTATTTCTAATTCTAACCTGCTTCCAAGGGGCATGGTGTAGGAGCATATCATGGTTATTTCTTATTTCAAGGTAAATTAAAAAGAGAACTTTCCAACTTTGGGCACTACTGGGAAATAGGACATACAACATTAAGTGAAACTTTGGCTCCTTTTTGGTTGTAATGATATGTGTCTTGCAGGTCTACTCTGATGGCTTCTGCTCCAACATTAGCTCCATCCTCGAAGGAGACGACTAATTATGCAAGATTATGTCGCCTTTTAGTAGATGGAGGCGCCAAGGCCTTGAGATACACATTTGACAAAATCCACTCCCCAGCAAACCTGTTTAATGTTTTGAAAGCTGGTTCTGCGGAACATTCAACGCTGCAGTCCCTTAAAAGGAAGAGAATCATCAATGCTACACAATGGGGTGAGCTGTATCCGTCTCCTCCTTCATCTGTAACATCAGAAAACTTTGACATCACGCTACTGACGGTGCTACTGAGGAACATCTGTGGTCTAGCTGCCCCTGCCACAGGCTGGGATAGTCTGCCACCTGCTTCAGACACCAGTGTTGAGGCTAACATAGCCAGAGTAAAGTACTATAGGAACTCGGTCTATGGGCATGCCAGCCAGGCGTCTGTGGACAATCCAACATTTAATTCCTTGTGGCAGGGTGTAAGTGCCGCACTGGTTGTACTGGGTGTAGATGCAGCTGCTATCAGAAAACTAAAAACTGAGACTATGGATCCAGATACAGAGAAGCATTACCGAGAGCTCTTAAAGGAATGGAAGAAAGACGAAGATAACATTAAGGACCAACTTAATAGAGTGGAAGGTATTAACTAATAGAGGTTTTGAAGTGTTTTCTATTAATAGTACTACATAGGTTGGTTTTTCTTTCTGAGCTTAAATTTACTAAAATATTATAATAACGTGTTGGTGGGGCTGAAATGAAAGCTTGGAATTAGACAAAATATACTTTTTCCCTATAAAAACACATTTAACAACCATAAAGTGACATATGAAGACCTACAAACAGGTTCAATGTTACGTCAAGGCCGTGATTCTGTAACTGAGCGAGTTGCAGCGATGTAAACTTTACACAAAAAAGCAAAAAAAAAAATGTTTCTTCCAACAAACTTTGTTTGCAACAACAAAAGTGGGCACGAATCCCAGGCGAGTTAGTTATTTCTAGTAACCACTGGACCGGCTTTTGTATGATCTGAAGAATTAGCCAGATCCAGGCGGATAACACTCTCCGAGATCTGCATAATTCTGTGAATCCGAATCCGACCAAAAAAATAACACGTTTTGCGTTAATAAGGTAAAAACAACCTCATAACACCCTCAGAGATCTGCATAATTCTTCAGATCACACTTAGCCTAATTCAATGATAGCTAATTATCTCAGCTGACAAGTTGAACACTGATTTTTGATGTTTTCTGATTTTTTTGGTTAAACTCACAGAGCTGATGAAAAATGAAATGGGAAACATGAGCGAGAAGCTGGAGGCTATGAGAAATTCCATTACTGAGAATGGAGGTCAGTTTCCAAAAAATGAATTTCAAGCTAAATTTAATAATTCTTTGAGTCAGGAATTTTGCATTTTATAACTTTTCAACTTTACCGTGAGAAACAAACCATATCGTTTTCTCTTTAGATAAAACCAGAGAACAGGTGAGAGGTGAAATGGAAAATAATAGCGAGAAGACAACTGAGGAAGGAATGTTAATTCCAAATTCCATAACTTGGGCATCCTTTCTTTTGATTACTATCTTTCAGTCAGCTATTACTAATGTGATGGCGAGTGTCAAAAAACTGCCACTTAAAAGCTTTAATAATCTTAGAACTATCGTAACTTAAAATAGGCGTCTGGAAAATCAGGAAACCGGAGTCCGGAAAAGGAACAATAGGAAAAAGAACCGGAATGGGGACGGGTGTTGGACGCAGAATAACACTGATTGGGAACCGATATAAGCCGGACAGAAACGTCATATAAACTGATTGAATTAAATTCTCACGTAACTTTTAACTAATTTACACAAAAAGAAAGAAAAAAACCGCCTTAAAAAGGAACATATTTGTACCTAGAAATATTTTATAAGGGCTTGTTACACGAGGCGATTTGCAACGTCGAATTGTCGGGTAACAATGTTGTGACAATATTGCGACAATTGAAAACATTTTCGGAACATTTTTATGACACTCAAAATCGTCGTTGCGAATCATCCCGTGTAACATCGCCCTTAGTCTGCGATCCTTTCCTCCCTTTATCTCCACTCGTCCGTTGCAGGAAGGGAGGGATAATACATTTATTTTCAGTGTTGGATCACATGGAAACGAGACGCCCAGTGGTGCTAGATATATTGTACGGTATTCAAACCTCAAGTTTGAGAGACAGCCAAACGCTTTAAGAAAATAGTACGCCTCGTCTCATTCAAAATAAGACCACCAGCCCAACCTCTGGCCTCTTTCAACTGACTGCATTGATGGTGGAAATGAAAACGTGTCACGTGTTAAAAGTAGAGAAAGGTTAATTAGATTCACTTCGCAATTAATCCGCTTACATCTTGCGACCCCGAAATCTTAAAGATGTTACATTTTACCGGAGTTTCCATCTCCGCACGTTATATTTCGTCCACAATGCAAATATATTGCTAAAAAGGTTGGAAACATCTACCATGAGTAGTTTAAGATTCGCTCAAGTATCCCATTTGTCTCACCAGTACCTGTTCCCTTACTCGATGCAAAACTTATTATAATAGTATATCTCAAATCACATCCCCCTCTTTCAAAATCCAACATGCCAGCAAGGGGCCAGCTTTATAAATTTACTTGAATGTGTGGTCGTTTAAAAAATTTTGGTAGATAGAAAACGAGCTGACGACGCGCTCAAAATCACCTGAAAGAAAACAGCCATCTTGAGCTGAAATGGAGGCATCGTCGTCACTATCTGAAGGCTAAGAGAGGGCTGGAGCCTGAAGGCTATTAAAGAAGTGGTCCCCCTGTGGTCGATTCTTTTCTTATCAACTCTTGGTCATTATTGCTACTTGTTCTTATTGAGTTATTAACTGAAAACCATCTCTGTTTTTACAGGTAGCTACACTTTATGTCTTATCTCACAGCAAAATATCATCGTTTATTTCGTCTTTTTTCTTCCTTCCCTTTCCTGTTGTGAATTCCGAATGTCTGTTTCCTGGCTTTCCAGACATCCACTTTAAATTGTCCTCAATGAAAGTTGTGCGATGAAAGTTTAATTCTGTTAAGTATATATTTCCTGACAGATAGAACAAGAAAAGACTTGAAGCAGATCAATGAGATGCTGAAGACTTCGGTCTCTGAGCCCAAAGAGGAAGGTCAGTTTCCCCAGACTGTAGCCCGCTAGAAATTTAAAGTATACGTCTAAAAGAACTGTTAAAGGCAAGTATTACTGATCGATCGGTGATCGTTTGTCTCACAGGTGTCGCTCCCGGGCTCTTGGGTCCCAAAAACCGTTGAAAAAATAGATGGAGGTTATAGGTGACCGTGAGTCCTCAAACACCCTAACCTAAAGTTCATAAACAGTAGTCCTTTTTCCCTGCTTTTCGCAATTTTCAGTGGTCTGCTAACCTTTGCCCTTATTGAAGCTCCCCCCCCCCTCCCCCCCACCCCCCCCACTAGTTTGGAATGTTTTACGCTTGCTTTCGAGGCCTAGCACGTTGGCTAAAGGAGATAATTAATAAAAGCTAAGTTTTGTCTAGCAATCGCCTTTTCCAGGCTTTGTTATACCTGTAGTTCAATTTATTTGTTTTAGGGACTTGGAAACTAGCAAACCTACCAATTTTGGACAAAATAATATCTACAACAAAGCTTGGTTCTCATTTATTCTCAACAGTTGATTTGGTTGGCGACCATATTGAAATCATTCGCCAGAAGTACAAACGTCATGAGGGATGGCTCGCGCCCTTTCCTTGGTGCGAAGACTTTCAGTTCCAACTAAGCGATATTTATACACGGCTTCGTATGGTCAACAGAGAGAAAAAAGCGAGAGCAACAGCAGAGCAAAGAGTTGTTGAAACGACTGAAATCTTCAATCCCCACGAAGAATGCAAACAACCTAGAAAAGTGTTGATTGAAGGAATGCCAGGCATGGGAAAGACGACATACTGCAATAAGGTTGCTTACGACTGGGCTATAAACATAAAAAAAGGAGATTGCTGTCCGGAATTTGAGATGGTGCTCTTGCTGAGATGCCGTGATGTCGAGATCGAGTTCGACCTTTGGGAAGCCATTGACGATCAGCTTTTACCAAGCGAAATTCAACGAAAGGAAAGAGAGAAATTCTTTGAGTTCATCCAGCAAAATCAATCAAAGGTTTTACTGATACTTGACGGATTAGACGAGTTACCCTCGAGCAAACTGACGGACTTTACAGACATCATACAAGGTAAAATGCTTCCTCAATGTCACCTTGTGGTTACAGCGCGACACGAGGCAGGGATACCTATGAGAAAGGTTTGTGACACTCTGCTAGAGATGGAAGGTTTCACTTATCAAGATAGCAAAGAATATATTCACAAATATTTTGCCGGTAAGGAAGATTTGGCCGAAAAGCTATTGGATAAAATACAGAATGAAAAGAGGCTTAAAGAGATGACGGCGAATCCATTAAACACTGCACTGCTTTGCCTTCTTTGTGAAGACTTTCAAGGTATTTTTCCTGAAAGCAGAACTCAGTTGTATATGGAAATAGTACATTGTGTTCTTGTTAGATACAGGAAAAAGAAAGGTCTTCTAGTCGAAAATGAGGATCTGATTAAAATCTACAACGACGAGTTGAAACTCCTTGGCTTGCTAGCTTTAAACGGCCTGTATGAAGACAACATGTACTTTGAGGACAAAAAGCTTGCAAAAAAAGATGCCGACTTACCTGGACTTGGATTTCTATCAGCTCAACCTGGAAGCAGCAAACGAAGACCGTGTATGTGCTACGGCTTTACGCATAAGAGTTTTCAAGAATTCTTCGCGGCACATTGTCTTTGTTGCCAACTTGTTAGCAAAGAAACCAGTCCTGAAATATTGGTCACTGACACCAGATATTTCGGAGAGCTAAGAGAGGTGTTGAAATTTACCTGTGGTCTCCTAGCAGTAAGATCCAAAGAAATTGCAGACGCTCTTATCATCAGTATAACGAATAAATTAAACAACGAAAACGTCAAAAACTGTTTTCCTGTGGCAGTGGAATGCATTAAAGAAAGCAAAATTGAAAGCAGTAATCTTCACATGGAACTGGCCCGTACCTTTGGCGCATGTCTGGCACTTCAACATGGAGGGATCATAAGTGAAGGTCTAGATGACGCTGCTGCAGCTGTGATTGCTGCCGTGCTTGAAGCAAACACAACTCTGACAAATTTGCATTTGTCCATCAATAACATTGGTCCTGCCGGTGCGGAGTCACTTGCTACAGCGCTAAAAACAAACACAACTCTGACAAATTTAGATTTGTCCATCAATAACATTGGTCCTGCCGGTGCGGAGTCACTTGCTACAGCGCTAAAAACAAACACAACTCTGACAAATTTGTATTTGTATCAAAACAACCTTGGTCCTGCCGGTGCTGAGTCACTTGGTACAGCGCTAAAAACAAACACAACTCTGACAAATTTGAATTTGTCTCTCAATAACATTGGTCCTGCCGGTGCGGAGTCACTTGCTACAGCGCTAAAAACAAACACAACTCTGACAAATTTGGATTTGTCTCTCAATAACATTGGTCCTGCCGGTGCGGAGTCACTTGCTGCAGCGCTAAAAACAAACACAACTCTGACAAAATTGCGTTTGCCTCACAATAACGTTGGTCCTGCCGGTGCGGAGTCTCTTGCTACAGCGCTAAAAACAAACACAACTCTGACAAATTTAAATTGTGTTTGGTAATAACCTTAGTTCTGCTAGTGCTGAATGTCTTGCTAAAGGGCTTGAAGCAAACACAACTCTGAAAAAGGTGTTATTGTGGCCATGAAGGTAATAATAGCATCAATGCATCTGTTCAAAACACAGTTTATGTACACGGTAACCGTATCCCACATTAAAAATTAAAATTTTCGTTCAGTTTTCTCTTTCTCCTTATTTCTTTGCCTTTTTAGGAAATTAGCAAATTAAAAAAAATACCAGTTACTTACTCTCTCATTTTCTTTCTTTCCCTTTTTCTTTCTGTGCCATTTGTAAAACTCACCACTTCCTTTCAACGCAAATGGATTTTTTCAGTTTAACAAAAATCACGCATCCGCTCATTCTAGTTTCGTAGTTAGATCTAGTTAGAGCCTGGCAATAAGGTAGTCCATGCAATGATATAAAGAAAAAATTCAGTTATTGAACAAAGGAATTAGCCTAGATATCAGCCGTTTCAGTCTCCGCCCGCTCACTCTGGTGGTTTGCGACTCACGGAGACAGCTGACATTTAGCCTAAAAAAGGAATGTAATTGAAGTATATTTAACTTAGTATATGTACATAGAGGATTGTCCTTGTTTCGCATTTTTTTAAGCCGATGAATTTTGTTAAAAGTGGCAAATGAAAACTTTCTGCTTTAACAGCTCTCTTGCTGTTTGTGATACATTATTTCATTAATCGTGTAATGTGTAACAGTAAACACTGAGTCTTTTAATTTTGTAGGTGTTGAGTTCAAGTTTTTAGCACTTGTGGACTAGCGTTAATAGACTAGTGTTATGTAGAGAATTTGCATGGGGATGATCAGATTTTAATTATCAGTCAGACTTTCAGCGCAGCGATATTTCAGCCATCTGTTAATTTTTTTACCTCAAAACTCGGCTATGTAAAGATTAGTGAGTAAATAATAGATTCATTAATTTCTCTGCTAACGGTTATAATGTTGGCCAATTTTCAGCTGTCAGTCAAATCCCATCCAGGTTCTTTATGTAACTCCATGTACTACAGTGGAACCTCGATTTTACGAGCCCTTACAATGAAGTCCTCGGTGTAATGAACGAGTTTCTTCAGCCTGACCAAAAAAACAGTAAAATTCACATGGAACAGAACCTCGATTTCACGAAGTCCTCGTTCCTCGTTATAACGAAGACAATTCATAAGCGCAAACGTAAAATTTACCTTGATATAACGAATAAATGACAGCATGCCGGGTGAAAGATGAATTTCAAACAGTCCACAAGGATAAAATTTATGTGTGCAGTAGTTTTAAGCAGTTTTGTTTGCCTTTTCTTGCGTTTCCATCCGCCGTAGCTATGTATAGCTCGGTACTGAAATGTTATTACGGTAAGAGTAATTTTTCAGATCCGGGAATGTTGGATTTTGTAAATTAATTATTAACTATACCTCGATATAACGAACATTTTGGTAGTTTTCCCGAGAATTCTTTAAATGGCGGTGTTTGATATAACGAATCCTCGATTCAACGAACAAATTTCTTCGGTCCCTTGGCACTTTGTTAAATCGAGATTTCAGTGCAACTAACTACATTGCATAGAAGACTGAAACAAGTTTTACTACGTTTGTACTTTTAAAAAATGTAGAAAATTTTAGACGGGGAGGCGCCACCCCAAGGTCCAACCAATCACCCTTTTATATACCATTTTTGACAGAAATGGTGCCCCTTTCGTATACCTTCCAGTGACAAATGGTACCGCTTTCACATACCTGCAAAGTTTAGAACCTTGCATCCCTTTTAACTGCTATAAATGCACTGTATTTAAATCATTACATGTAATAAATCACACAATCAGAACATTTTCTCGACTTTTTCACAGCCATAAAATCCTTCTGTACCCCTTTACGGTCATTTTACAGATCAAATGAGAGATGTCCCTACCCTTCCACATATTTCAACCGTTGGAGTCGCTACCCTTTCATATACCTAAAGCCTGAAAAAGGTCCCCCTTCCGGGCGGAGCTACCCCGTATTGACCATAACATAGGGATTACACTCCCCCGCAGCACTAAGACTGGTAGAGCTTAATATCGATCAAACATTGATTGATGCGCGGGAGAATTGTAAAATGATTTAAGGCCAATCCCTGCAAAAACATTTCTGTTTTTAAACAGAATGGGATACGTGTGGTTGGGTGAAAACAATTGGAAAGCGATACGTGGACGCGAAGCAGTCTACCTGAGGTTATAAAAAGCCGTTTTCAAAAGAAAAGGAACGCGAGTGTCGGGCGGACTGGGTTTAATTCATGGGCTCCAAGCTGCGAAATACGAACAACAGTTTTAAGGTCCTTGACATCTACGGCATTCATTCTTTATCTATCGTTACTTTTATGAATTGCTAAGTAAGTAATTAATCTTTGCCTACTAGCTAAGCAATTTACCCAGAACCCCAGCGGAGGCGGAGTAGGCTGTAAAACAATCGGTTTTTTTCTCAACATCAGTAAAGAAATCGGTAAAGCGTGGCGTGAGAGTCTTGCGAGTCTCACACGCCCCCGTAAGAATGTCTGCGGGGGAGGCTACTCTGTAGGGAAATTAAGATGGTTTGACAAGAGGAAAGCAGAAGACAGTGTGATAAAGGAATTTTGTTAATTCACATTTTGCTATTCCATCTGTTAAGAGTATTTTCTAAACAGATCATATAAATAGTCTGGAATTTGTCAAAGCTGAAAGAAAAAAACATACTGTACTTGTAGTTCCTTTATAAGACAGCCTTTTAAATGAATTGCAGGTCTGAACGGTGGAGTTTTAAATAAGACAATCTGGCTATGTTAATTTTTGATAATCTTTTTTCCATCAAATTTAATTACTGGTAAAAACCTGTAACTAAGAACCAGTATTTTCCCAAATTAGCCTAAATAGGTCAAGTTCTTACACAAAAGTTAATTAGCACAGATTTAGGCTGTTTAGGTTCAGTCTCAAATAGGTCCTTTTTTTGAAGAAAAAAATACATTGTACCTTTGAGCTAAGAGTATTTAGCGGTGTTCAGCTCATTCCTTAGTGTATGTAAAACCCGTATACCATTACGTTGCAGTTGGAGTAATGATTAGACACCTATGTCTCAAATGAGGACCCTGAATGGTGACTGATTTTACTTACCCAAGTGTTTTTCAAAGAGATTTTTTATGGTAATAGGACTAAGTGGAGTTCAGTTCGGTCTGTAATCATACGAGTGTTACAACATCTGCCGACCGCGAAGCAGGAGTCAGATTTGTTTAATCATGAGTATGATTACAGACTGAATTGGACTGAATTCCTGTTACCAATTAATTATAACCATTACAATTTCCGAGAAAATATGATTTTCTTATGTAACTGTCCGATTGCTGGCAACTGTCCGCTGACTACAGCCAACTGTCCAATTACAAGCACGCACAATGATTAAATAAAAATAAAGCAGTTAATGCACCAATCAAATCTGAGGAAATTGTAATGGTTATGATTAGTAACCTGTTTCAAATTTTAGGGTTCTTTTAAAAAGACAGCCTAACTAAATTTGAGCCTAACAGGCTGGGTGTCAGCCCATCCCTTTTTTGTTTATCCATGTCAATGAGGTCAGATAGGGATTTTGCATTTGGTCTTCTCTTCTTCTTCACCATGGTGCTTTTAATAGGAAGCTTTTTTCTTCTAATCAGGATCATATTAACAGTCCTTTACTCTGATTGATTTATTGAGGGATGAAGAACACTAAGAAGTGAAGTTGTTATAACACAACCACCAACTCCTTTCCACAGCAGGAACAGAATGCTTAGGGATGGAAAATAAACACGAGAAACTGATTGAAGTATTAAAATCTAGCTTAGTTTGATTTCCTTATTGAGTTTCATGTTACAGCTCTGGTGATCCCTCCAGAACTTCACACCTCAAAAAACGGTTATAACAGCTGTTTTTTTTTTTTTCACATTGATTTCATGTCTTTTTAATTTACTAATTCAGTGCATAACTATAATCACTGTAAATTGTAGTATTTTTTTTTAACTTTAAAGGTCAAGAACCAATCAACACATGTTTGGCAGCGATACATTTTTAACTAAGTGTTGTAGTTATCAGTTACGACAAGGAGTAATTTCAAACTACGGTAATTTTAACAATATGACCAGGAGTGCATAAGGGTTTCTTTTCAGGTGTGTTACACTTGCAAGCTTAGAAAAAAATGAAGGGCACAACTTTCTTGATTTCTCTCAGATAATGACAAATTGGACTACTTGTGGGCTTAAGGCTTGTTCTAAACATAAATCTTCAAAGGGAAATTAAATGCTAAGAAGCCAAAAC